TCTAGGCCCGAAACGTCAGCCTCTCTGCTCCTATGATGCTGCTTGGCCTGCTGTGTTCATCCAGCCCTGCACCTTGTTGTCTCGGATTCTCCAGCATCTGCAGTTCCTACTATCTCTGACCTAATAGCTTTTGTTCCTTACAAAGGTAGGTTTCAGAATGCTCAGTGGATTAAGTTGGACACCTGGCACCTTCCAGAAGATAGCGTTTACAATCTTGTCAGATCTTAAGGGAATACTCAATTTACTTAACATCAGTCAAAATTATTTAGTAAATGTTGTCCAATGGCAGAATTACATGTAACACAGGACATAGTATTCTGATGTTTGTGATCACAGGCTGCTTCAACAGCATCGACATGCAGTTTGCTGCAAATGGTCAAAGGGACAGTTTATGGTTTGCCAGTCATTGTGATGTGTGGCCTGCAAACTAGTATCACACTGGCAATGAAATTTATATATCACATTCGATTTGATTCTGCTACCTGGACAGCATTTACTAAGTAATCCTGATTGTGCTAAGTAGTACCCTGGAGTGTAATTTAATATTATCAATCAGCCTTGCAGTGTGATTCCCTTGTGAGTGTTAGAAACTACATTCAACAACACATGGGAACCTGTTTGTTCAAGGCAAGATTCAGTTCAGGAAAAGGTTTGGAGTTTGCCAATTCCTGTGTCATTCCCTATGAGAGTACTTTGATCAATCAGAGTCCACCTGTCTTGTCTGGCCTTTTTTTATTCCAGCTAAAATCAACAGTTAACATTTCCTGCTACATCTCCATGCTAACATGGTCCAATCATTCAGCACCTTCTTCTCATGGTGTATTAATTGATGTTCCCTTTCGAATGTTTTGTTTCTTATGTCAGTCCTGATGAGTGCAGGATAAAAAACTTTGACGACATGTCCCCTTTACATAATCTTAATGACCTCTTATCAGGTCAGTCCCCAGTCTTCTCTTTTCTGCAGCTCTAACCTGTTCATTCATTCCTGATACATACCTTATCTTAGCACTGGTACTGGGTCACTGAAAGCTTCATCTATCAGAAATCATAACAGGAGGAAGTCATTCAGCCCCTCTAACATGATTTAACATTCAAACAATCGTAAATGGTCTGTATATTCACTCAATTTACTCACCTTGGCACCATATACCTTATTATCTTTAGCATCTGGAATAATTAAACAACAATATCTTCCATTTACAGACTGCTCTTAATGGACCAATATATTTCTAGGTATTTAACAAGTGTACTTTCTTTTAAAAAAACTGATACCTATCCACTAAATGAGATATTAGGACAGATGGCTAAAATCTTGACCAAACAGGTAGATTTTAAGGACCTAAGAGAGGACAGCAGGGTAGGGAGCTAGAGTCTGAAGAATTTTAGTGAAGGTATTACTTAATACCAAGGCAACTGTTGGCACAATTACCACTGATGGTGAATTTAAAATTAGCGATGCTAAACAGGCAGAACTTCTTTTTAAATTTTGTTCTGGAAATGTGGCATTGTCAACAATTTAACACCCAAGTCTAACTGCCCTTGGGAAGGTGGTGGTGAGCATTGAGAGTCACCATTTAAACAGTCAGTCATTTGAAGGTAATTTAGCAGGGTGGTGTGGTGGTTCCACAGCTATGGTAGAAAACCCTGAGAAAATTTGCTGAGGGACTGCGGATTGAGCAGATTATTTTCCAAAAATAGGATTGTCTTATTTAGTCTTGCTGTATACGTACTTCAGCTTAATCCTCCTCATAACATTTTAGATTGCACGTAAAATGTTAAAAACAAACAGGAAACACATTAAAATATTGTTTATGTAATACAGTGAATGTTATTACAAGGCAGTGCTTTCCAAACATTTTCTCACTGCAACCCCATTTCATGGTTTGAAAATTGCCGTGACCCCTCTGTGAGATTGGGTGGGGAAAGCGAGTTGGTATGATGGTGGTGAAGAATTATTAGAGAGGGGGCAGGGGTCAGAAGACCCGTCAAAGTGTGATGAAGAGGCAAAGCTACATGGCAGTCATTGCTGCCTCTGAGCTCATGACCCCACGACCCCAAAATTTCAGTTTGAGAACCCCTTGGAGTCCAGCAACGCCCTCCCCATTCTGAGAAGCCCTGTTATAAGGTTACTATTACTGTTATTTATCTGGAACGAGATAGATGTTGCACAATATTCACACTGGTCTTAATTAAAATTATACAAAGATGGTATAAAGTGTCAGACTATGACGAACATCTGTTACAGTACACTTGCTCCTCTAATTACTAATTTTAAAAGAGTTTTAATTTACATACAGCCTTTCTCTACCTCAGGAAATCCCAAAACATATTAAAGCCAATGAAGTGCTTTTGAAGCACAGTAACTAGACATTTACACACAAGATATCACCAACAGGAATATGATAATGACCAGATAATCTGTTTGATTTGTGATGTCATCTGAGAAATAAATACTTGCCCAGGACATTTTCGATATGTCCCTGGTCTTCTTCAAATAAAGGTTGTGGGATCTTTAACAGTCACTTGAGAGGATAGATGATATCATCTCAACTGAAAGGCCGCACTTCCAACTAGATTCACTGGTATTGTACTGGGGCTAGAAGGATTAAATTATACTGAGAAGTTGCAGAAACATAGATTCGAATCTCTTGAGTTTAGAAGATTGATTGGTAATCCATTTTCAAGGTTGGATAAGGGACTTGACAGGGTTGATAGAAACTACTTCATCTCATGTGGTGGTGGAGGTGATGGTGTTGGGGCCGGGGGAGATGTTCTGTATAAAGAGGGCATAACCTTAAAGTTACAGCCAGACCATTCAGGTGTGATGTCAGTAAGCAATTTTTCATAGAAATGGCAGAGGAAATCTGGAATGTTATCTCCCCAGCCAACAAAAGTTGTAGCAGTTGTGAATCAATTGGAACATTCAAGACTGGGATTGTTGAATTTTTTTCTCCAATTTTCAGGGATATGGAATCAATGAGGGTAAATGAAGCTGAGATACAGATCTGCTTTGTTCTATTGAATGATGGAATACTCTCAAGGAGGTGTAAGACCTACTCCTATTCCTTTTTTTTCCATGTTTCAGGTGTTTTTTGGTGGGTTGAATGTTGTGATGTAGGATATGGTGTAGTGTGTAGTTTGGTTTTGTGTTGTGTGATATGGCGGTACGGCATTGTGTGGTCTGGTGTTCTGTGGCCTGGTTTGATTTAATATGGTGTGGTTTGCTGTGATTTGTTGCTGTGAGATGGAGTTTTATGTGGGATGGTATGATGCAGTTTGATGTTTTGGTATGTTGTGGTTTGAGGTTGCACTGCGGAGCGTGGTTTCACCTGGTAATGGATGGATGTGATGTGGCCAGCCATAATTTGGATTAGGAGAAACCAACAGCCACTGGTTGCGTTTGGAGTGAGGACTCTGGAATGAGTCAAGCAACAGCCTGACACAGTTATACTCAGGTGATCAAACCTTATAGATAACGTCCCAAACAGCATCAGTACCATCCCTCGTACCATGTCCTGTCCCACTGGCAGGACCGACCCAGCAGAAGACTCAATGATATACAGTCAAGAAGGAGTTGCCCTAGGAATCTTCAACATTGACTCCATCCCATGAAATCTTATGGCATCAAGTCAACCATAGGCAAGGAAACCCCTTGCTGATAACCACATACCTGCCCTTCTCCCCTCAGCTGATGAATCAGTGATCCTCCATGATGAACACACTTGGAGGATGCATTGAGGGTATAAATGGTGCAAAATGTACTCTGGATAGGGGACTTCAATCTCCATCACCGTGGGTGGTTTAGCAGCAACACTACTGACTGATCTGGTTGAGTCCAAAAGGGTATAGTTACTAGACTCGGTCTGTGGCTGGTGGTGATTGAGCAAACAAGAGACAAGAACATAGGAACATAGACTCACCAAACTGTTTGCTGCCAATGCATCTGTCCATGACAGCATCAATAAGAATGACCACAGTTCTTGTGGAGACAAAGTCTCATCTTCACATTGAGATGACACTCCATCATGTTGTGTGACACTACCACTGAGCTAAATGGGATGGACTTTGAACAGATCTAGCAACTCAAAACTAGTGTGGGCCATCAGCAGCAGCTGAATTGTACTCAAACACATTGTGCCTAGTGTTCCGCAGTCTATCATTACCATCAAGCCAGGAGATAAGCCCTGGTTCAATGAAGAGTGAAGGAGGACATTTCAGGAGTAGCACTAGGCATAACTATAAATGAGGTGTCAATCTTGTAAAGCTGCAAAACGGGATTACTTGTGGTGCCAAACAGTGGAAAGGGAGAGACAGAGCTAGGCAATTCCACAAACAACAAATCAGATCTGGTGCATATAGAACCCTTTAGCTCAAAATGCTTTCATTCTTATTGGAAACTGAACACCGAGAATAATCAGGCTCTACAACTGAAAATCACACTCAATGGACTCGACTGGGCATAAATTTTCCAATTGACAAGCACTTCCACTAATACATCAGTACAGCCTCTACAAAATCCAAACAGAATTCAAAAAACAACCCAAGGATATAGCCTACAGGAAAATAAATTAGCAACATTGGAAACAATCCAAGCTAGTCGGTTAAAACTGCTCTCTGTTCAATTAGGTAGTTGATCTGTAATGGAATTCTGTTCCTCCACCTTTCCTCCATATTCCTTAGTACTCTTACCAAATTAAAAATCACTCATTGTCAGTCACGAAAGTACCAATGATTCCCAGCATCCACAACTTAATAGGGATTGCACAGATTTTGTTAAACTCTAGAAGAATAATGACTGGAACCATGGTCCTTACCTGAATTCCTTCAGTTGCATTTTCTGCTGGAAAATTTATTTTTTTCACAGCCCTTTTCGCGCTGACCAAGATAGCCAATAGTCTTTCTTCTGCCATTGCTGCTCTACACTGAGCTGACGAAGCCTTATGTTGTACTGCAGCCAACATCTCAGTAACCTCGGCTACTCTATCTTCCATTGCAGACATTTTCTTGGAGGACTCTAGTAAGGTCTCCCTAGCATGTTCCTTCACCCTCTCAGTCTCCTCTTTAACTCTTTCCAACTCTGCCAGGAACCCAGTGGCTCTTTGTTCTTCTGCAGCAGCTTTCAGTTCGGCAACAGCCACTATTTGCTTGGTCTCCTCTATCTTCTTCTCCATCTCTCGGGTCTTTGTCTCAAACGTTTCCACTCTCTTCTCCGCCATCTCCAAGGCCAACATCATCTTCTCCCTAGCCTCGTTTGTCCTTTCATTGTCCTCATTGACTTTCTGCTGGAGCTCAAACAATGCAAACTCTGATAAAGATAATTTTTCTTTCACCTCAGCTAATTTTTTGTTGGACTCCAGTAATTTTCCTTCTGTTTCCATGGCCGCATTTCTAGCCCTAGTCAGCTCTTCATCAGCTGCAGTCATGTCTTCCAAAGCTTTTTTAACTTTCTTGCTTTCAAGGGTTCTGGCTATGATAGCTGCCTTTTCCTTGGCCTTTGCTTCCTCTGCACTTTGCACTGCATCAGCAGCTTTTTCTTCAGCCTCTTCCCTGAGAATCTTCTGAAGTTCCAACTCTCTTATCCTGAGAAAAGCAGTAACATTTCTAATATCACAATGCATACGAATAATGAAAGATCTGCAATTCTATAAGCATGTTGCACACCCTCAAAGACCCACAGTGTGACTTACAGCTAATAAGGCACTTTTAAAGAGTAGTCACTGAACATAAGATCATAAGAAATAGTGGTAGGCCATTCAGCCCCTCAAGCTCTGACATTCCATAAAATCACGGTCAATCTGATCATAGCTTTAACTTCAATCTTCAGCCTGCCATAACCATTGAGACCCTTGTAGATGAGAAGCTGTCTTACTCAGCTTTGAATATATTCGATAACCTAGTCATAACTGCTCTCTGAACTAGAAAATTCTGAAAACTAATGAATCATGGGGATAATAAAATTCACATAATCTTCAATTTAAATGGGAGGCGATTTCTTCTGAATCAGTGCTCCCTAGTTCTAGATCTGTCCATGAGGGGAATCATCCTCCCAGCATTTAACTCATCAAGCCCCTCAGAATCTTATTTTTCAAAATAATCAACTTGTATTCTTCGAAATTCCAATGAGATAGGACCAACCTAGTTAACCTTTCCCCTAAGGCAACTCCTGCATCTCAGGAATCAAACTAATGAAGCTTCTTTAAACTGCTTTCATTGCAAGATTTTCCATCTGAAAAAGGATGTGGTCTCATGAACACCCTGTTCAGTTGTAGCATGATTTCTTTACCTTTATATCCTATTCTCCTTGTGGTAAAGGCCATCATTTATTTGCCTTTCTATTCATTTTCTCTACTTGTATGCTGGCTCTTTCTGATGCATGAACAAGTACACCCAAATCTTTCTTTACTGTAGTATTCTGCAGTCTCTTTGCATTTAAATAATGTTCCACTTTTTTATTCTTCGCAGTAAACAACGTGGATGATATCATATTTTCCCACCCTATACTCCATCTGTTAAACTTTTGCCCAGTCAATTAACCTATCTATATTTCTTGGCAAATTCTGCATATCCTCCTGACAACCTGCTTTCCTAACTATCTGTATCATCAGCAAATTTAGCTACAAGACACTCTATTCCTAATATAGGTCATAAATTGTTGAGACCCCAACATTGTTTCCTGTGGGATCCCAGTGCTACAGTTTGCTACTAATAGGACACTGATATCATTCCAAAAATATAAAATAATCAAGAGGCTAAAGGGGGAAATTTAAAATAAACAATAACTACCACTAGAGAAAAAGTGTATAGGAAACTAATGGAGCTAAAGACTCATAAGATCCTAGACCTGATGAGTTACATTTTATTATTTTAAAGGATATAGTTAAAGAGATAGTGGAAGCACTGGCAGTAATCTTCAGAGAATCTTTAGATTCTGGAATAATCACAGAGGATTGGAAATATGCAATGTAACAACCTTATTGGAAAGGGAGAGAGACAAAAATCAGGGAGGTGGTTTAGGATGTGATAGTAGAGCATTTATAGAACCATAGAATTTTATTGTACAGAAAGAGACCATTTGATCCACCATGTCTGTACCTGCTCCCGAAAGAGCCACCAGCTAGTTCCACTCTCCAGCCCTTCGCCTCTCTTTTGTAACTTCCTGTGGAATCTGCATCCACCACTGTCCCAAAGAGCACAATCGAAATCCTAACAATTCAGAAGTTTCTCCTCATCACACTCCTAGCTCTCTTGCTGACAATCGAATCATGACCCCTAGTTACCGACATACCAATTATTAGAAAGAATATCTTTCTTCAGTTTTCAAAATTGTTTATTATTTTGAACACATCAAGAAGATCACCTCTTAATCTTCTCTGCTCCAAGGAGAATAAGCCTAATCTCTAACTTTTTCTTGTATCTAAAGTCCTTCAATTGCGAGAAATACATTATAAAATTCATGAAGATTCATGAAGAAATCCTGTCTGAAACAGAAATTCTTTGAGAAGTAATAAGCAGGATAGATAAAGGCAAAGCAGTGGATGTAATTTACTTATATTTCTAAAAGGCATTTGATAAGGTACTGTGCATAAGTCTACTTAATAAAAGCCTACGGTTTGGGGGTTACTATGTGTAGTGATTGCAACTAGGTTGACCTAGTTAACTACGAGGTCGTTGAATGGGGTTGTTAAGCTGAGCCAATCAGGAAAGTCCTGACTGATCAATATAACCAGGAGATTAGAATCTCATCATTTCAGATGACTGATTCCGAGCTGGCTGGCCACAGTCAGCGTACTGTGCACTGAGAAGATAAAGAGTGACTTGCTGACGGGAAGCAGCCTCTGTGCCATTGTGTAGACTAGACTGAGCCTTTGTGTGTGGTCTGACAGCGCCATGTGTAGGCAAAAAGTGCCATGTGTAGGCTGGAGATGTTCTGTGTCTGTAAACTGGAGACGCTCCCGGTGCGTGGGCCGGAGACGCTCCGGGTGCGTGGGCAGAAACTGCTGCATGTGTGTGGGCCAAAAATATTCAAAAACAAAATATAACCAGGAGATTAGAATCTCCTCGGTTCAAGCGACTGACTCCAAGCTAGCTGGCCACAGCCAGTGTACTGTGCACAAGTAAATAAGAGGGTGACTTGGAGTTGGGATACCGGCCTCTCTGCAGTTATTTCAGTGGTGACAGGAGAAAACAGGACATGCCTGAAGAACATTCACTTGCAACAGTTATCTTGGAGAAGGGGTAAGTATTTCTGGCATCATGCCTTTATTTGGGAAGCTTGACTCGTTTGACCCTGCTGTTGAAGACTGGGCCCAGTATGAGGAAAGAATGTGATATTTTTTTCCAGGCAAATGACATTAGGGGAGATGAAAAGCAACAAGTAATCCTTCTGACTGTATGTGGACCCACAGAATTCCTGGTTATAAGGGGCATAACTTTCCCAGAGGATCCAGATACTAAAACCTTTCAAGAGTTGACGGAATTGGTTAAAGAATATTACAACCCCAAACCTCCTCTAATTCTGAGACTCTATTGGTTTTATTCGGCTGTTAGAGAATAGGGGGAGTCTGTGTTGGGATTTTTGACAAGGTTGAGACGACTGGCAGAGGCATGTGATTTTGGGTTAACATTGAATGAGATGCTGAGAGACCATTTGGAATGTTGGATTAATGACGTTACCATGCAGAAGTGCCTACTAGCTGAAGCCCAACTGGACTTTAAACAGGCACCGCAGCTGGCCTTGTAGAAAATGCGGCAAGTGGAGTATGGGAACTACAGGGCATCCCAATGGAAGTAGAAATCCTCACCTCTCTGACTGGGCTTTGGGAGCACCACTTGAGTATAGAGCCTCATGCAGTGTATATCCTGAGCAGATGGACCCTAGGCCAGCCCACAGCAAAACCCCACAACAAAGCTGAGCCTCGGCCAAGTGACTAAAAAGTACTTCAGGATCTGGGTTGGCAAGCCATTGTCATTACTGTCAGTATGTGGACTTGAGACAGCAAAGGAGTCCTATAAGGCCTAGCTTGAGTAAGAAAGCTCATAGGCCAGTATCCAGTAGAGCACACACCCTTGAAAGTCCTCCTACATGTGGGGTGGAACAATTAAATTGCTTAGTGATATCCAAATCAAAACCGATTAAAATTGATTCGGAGATAGTAGGAACTGCAGATGCTGGAGAATCTGAGATAACCAGGTGTAGAGCTGGATGAACACAGCAGGCCAAGCAGCATCATTTAGGAGCAGGAAGACTGACATTTCGGGCCTAGATGAAGGGTCTAGGCCTGAAATGTCAGCCTTGCTGCTTGGCCTGCTGTGTTCATCCAGCTCTACACCCTGTTATCTCCGATTAAAATTGATGTTTGGATAAATGGTTACCCAGTTCCTTTATTTCCGATGGAAGTCGATAGTGGCACAGCTCTATCTGTGGTTGCAGACTCCATCTTCAACAAAATTTGCTTGGGACTCCAACCCTTAAGTTTGCACAAGACCTCAGCCAGACTGAGAACATACACTGGGGAACCGTTGCAGATTAAGGGTATGACTTCGATTCCGGTCTCCTATGAGAACCAACTGGTAGTAAAAGGTTCAAGCCCAAGCCTATTGGGCAGAATTGGTTAAGAAAGATTCACCTAGACCGGCTCAACATTTTTTGATTAGAAATTGGCTGTGTCAGGAATGTCCTAGTGAAATACCGAAGAGTATTTCAGGAAAGGCTTGCGACAATCAAAGGGGCCAAAGGCACTTTACGTGTTGACCAGGAAGCAATTCGTGATTTTTCAAGGCCAGTGCTATTTGCCTTGTGGGCAAAAGTAGAGGCAGAAATCCGAAGACTGGAGAGCAAAGGAATCATCAAACCAGTGCAGTCCACCAGTTGTACTGATTGTAAAGCCTGATGGCTCAGTTCACCTTTGTGGGAATTTTAAGCAAATGGTAAACTGCTTCTTGCAGTCAAATAAGTTCCCAATCCCTCGTGTAAAGGATTTATATGCAAAGTTGGTGGGGGCTGGCTATCCTTTACAAAGCGAGCCATGAGGCACGCCTACCTGCAGTGGAACTGGATGAGGAGTCCCAGAAGTATGCTACAATTAATACCCACAAGGGTTTATATCAATATACAAGACCTCCATTTGGGGTATCATCAGCCTGCGCTCTTTACCAGTGGACTATGGAGAACATTTTACAAGGGCTACCCCAGGTTGCCATTTATCTGGATGATGTACTAATAACAGGGAAGGCCAATGAAGAACACTTAGAGAACTTGGACATAGTGCTTAAATGTTTCTCCCAGGTGGGCGTCCACCTTAGAAGGGGAAAAACGTGTCCCAGGCATCTCATGTGATGTACTTGTGTTACAGGGTCAACAAAACCGGGTTACACCCATTGGAAGAGAAAGTGAGGGTGATCAAAGGAGCCCTGGCTCCTATGTCTGAACTGGAGCTTAGATCTTTCCTTTGGTTAGTGAATTATTGCGGAAATTTCATACATAATCTAGCCTCTATCTTGGCACCCTTACACCTGCTATTGAGAAAGGGTCAGCCTTGGAAATGGTCAAGTAGCCTTTACAGAAGTGAAAAAATAGCTATTGTCTTCTAAGGTGTTAGCCCACTACAATCCGAAGGGAGAGGAGTGTTGACATGTGATGCCTCTCCATTCGGTATCGGGGTAGTGTTGCCTCACTGTTGGCCCAATGGAGAGGCAGAAACAGCAGCAGGAATGCCAATGCCGCCTCTAAGTGAGAGAGACAATTTAATTTGGGGGATGAAGTTTGGTGCTAGAACCATGGAAATGGCCCTGTATGGGTAAGATGCAAAGTTGACGCAAGATCAGGTCCCATCACTTACAAAGTTCGGGTAGGTGATACAGTCCTGGTCAAACATGTGGATCACCTGAAATTACCTCGCAAACAGGGCAGGAGAAAAACACACCTGCTCTGCAGAACAGCCAGAAGGCCTGTTAGAAACCATAGGTTCTTCCCCTTCCGTCTAGTAATGAGCAAACCTCAGAGTCTGAGATGGATGCAGCCTCCATACTGTTACTGCCGAAAGAGGAGGAGGAATTCTCCCGAGATGCTCTGGATGCAAAAGGTGGGTTATAGTCTGGTACACACTGCCCATGTCAGAGTCCAAGTCAGAGCAACTGGACCTGGGGCAAAAACATCGCAGGAAAAGCTACAAGCCAAAGACTAGGCCTACATCCCCGGACTTGTGAGGGAGGAATGTAGAGATTGGAAACACATTGACCTTGTTGACTACAAGATCTATGGTTGGGATGTTAACATGGGCCAATCAGAAAAGCCGAAAGAACTGCAGATGCTGTAAATCAGGAAAAAACACAGGAGTTGCTGGAAAAGCTCAGCAAGTTTGGCAGCATCTGTGAAGAAAAATCAGAGTTAATGTTTTGGGTCTGGTGACCCTTCCTCAGAACCAGTTCTGATTGATTTTTTTTTTCCCCAATCAGGAAAGCACTGGCTGACTAATAAAACCAGGAGATTCAGAATCTCCACAGTTCAGGGACTGATTCCAAGCTGGCTGGCCACAGCCAGTGTACCATGCACAAATAAATAAAGGGTGAATTGGTGATGGGATGCCGGCCTCTGTGCAGTTATTTCAGTATGTTAACATGAATAGGGAATTGGCTGAATAGTTGGGACAAAGGGTGCATTTTCATGATGGCAACCTGTAACTAGTTGAGTTCCATAGAGATCAGTGCTAGGACCACAATTATTTGCAATATATATTATGGCTTGGATAACATTAGTGAATGTACAATCACTAAGTTTGTAGATGACACAAAAATAAGTGGGAAGACAATTAATGAGGATGTTAAACAGTCAGAGAGAGATATAGACAGGCAAAGTGTTTGGGCAAAAACTTGGCAGTGGGAATATAACGTGGGAAAACGTAAGGTTATGAACTTAGGCAGGAAGAATAGAAGATCTGAATATTATTTAAATGGAGGAAAAGAGTTGAATACATGAACCACAAAGTACTAGCATCTAAATTCAGCAGATAACAGGGAAGGTAAATGGGATGTTGGCCTTTAATTCAAAGGGAATGGAGTATAACAATAGTGCGATCTTGCTAAAACTATACAAGATACTTGTATAGAGATAACAAGGTGTAGAGCTGGATGAACACAGCAGGCCAAGCAGCATCAGAGGGGCAGGAAAGCTGACGTTTCGGGTCTGGACCCTTCTTCAGAAATGGGGGAGGGGAAGGGGGTTCTGAAATAAATAGGGAGAGAGGGGGAGGCAGATAGAAGATGGATATAGGAGAAGATAGGTGGAGAGGAGACAGACAGGTCAAAGAGGCTGGGTGGAGCCAGCAAGACACTTGTATAGTTCAGTAAAGCCTTTGACAAGGTTCTGCATGGCAGACTGGTACAAAAGGTGAAGTTGCATGGTATCAGGGGTGAGCTGGCAAGATTGATACAGAAGTGGCTTAGTCATAGGAGCCAGAGTGTAGTGGTGGAGGGATCCTTTTTGGAATGGAGGGCTGTGACTAGTGGTGTTCTACAGGGATCAGTGCTGAGATCTATGCTGTTTGTGATCTATATAAGTGATTTGGAGGAAAATGTAGCTGGTCAAATTAGTAAGTTTGCAGATGATACAAAGATTGGTGGTGTTGCAAATAGCGAGGAGGATTGTCAGAGGATACAGCAGCCTATAGATCAGTTGGAGGCGTGGGTAGGAGCTTAATCTGGGCAAATGTGAGGTGATACATTTTGGAAGGTCAAGTTCAGGTGGAAATTATACAGTGAATGGCAGAACCCTTAGCAGTATTGATATGCAGAGGGACCTGGATGTGCAGGTCCACAGATCACTGAAGGTGGCAGCGCAGGTAGATAAGGTAGTAAAAAAGGCTTATGGCATGCTTGCCTTCATTAGAAGGGGTGTTGAGTATAAGGATAGACAAGTTATGCTGCAGCTTTATAGAACTTTAGTTAGGCCACACTTGGAATATTGCATACAGTTCCGGTTACCACACTACCAGAAGGGTGTGGATGCTTTGGAGAGGGTACGGAAAAGATTTACCAAGCTGTTGCTTGGAAGGAGGGATTTTAGCTATGAAGAAAGGTTAGATAGACTGGGTTTGCTTTCACTGGAATGCAGGAGTTTGAGTAGCGACCTGATAGAAGTTTATAAGATTATGAATGGCATGGATAGAGTGTAAAGTATGAGGTCTTTTCCCAGGGTGGAGGGGTCAATTACTAGGGGATACAGGTTCAAGGTGCAGGGGGGTAAGTTTAAAAGAGATGTGCTAGGCAGGTTTTTTCTCACAAAGGGTGGTGAGTGCCTGGAATGTGCTGCCAGAGAAGGTAGTGGAAGCAGACACAATAGCAGCATTCAAGACATACATGGATGAATACATGAATAGGAAGGGAATAGAAAGATATGAATCCTGTAAGTGAAGACAGTTTTAATTTGGAAAGGCAAAATGTGTCGGTGTAGGCTTGGAGGGCTGAAAGACCTATTCCTGTGCTGTATTATTTGTTGTTCTTTATGCTTTGTTCTTTGCATACTGACTAGTCAGACCACACCTAGAACACTGTACACAGATTTGGTTGCCTTATCTAAGGAGAGATTGACTGGCATTGAAGGTAGTCCAGAGAAGCTTTACTATGTTGATTCTGGGTATGGAGAGATTTTCTTATGAGGAGAGGCTGAGTAGGTTGTGCTTGTACTGACTGGTGTTTAGCAAAATGCAAAAATGCTTATTGAAGCACAAGAATCTTAGGGGACTTTACAGGGTTTTCCTCTCTGTGGGACAGCCTAGGAACAGAAGATATCATCTCAGTGTAAGGAGGCATCTTTTCAAGACAGAGATGATGAGGAATTTTTTCTGTCAGAAAGTCATGAATCTTTGGAATTCTTTACAGCAGAGGTCTTTCAAGGCTGGGTCATTAAGTACATTCAAGCAGAAATAAACAGATTTGTAACCTTTAAGGGAATCAAGAGTTATGGGGAAAAGCAGGAAAGCGAGTTGAGGATTATCAGGTCAACCATGATCACTTTGAATGGCAGATTGGACTCAGTGGGTTGAATGGTCTACTTCTGCTCCTACATCTTATGGTTTTATAACCTAACAATAATCTATTCCCCACTCTGTACTGATGGTTAACCAGTCTTCAATACATGCTAATGCATTACTCACAACTCCAGGATCTATAATCTTATGTAGTAATTTTTTAATGGAATTTATAGGACGCTGTTTGGAAATTCAAATACACTATATCTACTCATTCCCCTAATTTCTCTTTCATAAAACTATGCTTTGCTTAACTCTGCTTGACTGTACTATGATTATTTTAATGTCCTTCTACTATCTCCTCAATAAGAGATTTCAGCATTTTCTCCAGTTTATTTCAAAAGGGGGTTTTGGTTGCTATCAGAATTCAGGGAGCTAGATAGGAAATTAGTGAGCAGTTCCTTCACCGTCGCTGGGTCAAAATCCTGGAATTCCCTCCCTGGATCAACCCACAGCAGGTGGACTGCAGCAGTTCAAGAAGGCAACTTACCACTAGCTTATCAAGGGTAACTAGGGACAGGCAACAAATGCTGGCCAGCCAGCGACGCCCACATCCCACAAATGAATAAATAAAAAAAAAGGATCTAAAGAGTAGTAATTTCCACGCTGCTCCCTGTTCCACGCATAAGTTTGCAGAAACAGGCAAATTAATGTATGGCTGGGGGGAGATGCTGCAGGAGGACGGATTTTAGGTTTCTAAGACATTGGGACTAGCTCTGGGGAAGATGGAATTAGTACTGGCAGACAGTATGCAGCTGAACAGCTTCAGGACTGAATTCCTTGTGGGTAATTTTGCTATTTATTGAGGATGCATTGAATAGTTGAAGGGTCAATATTGAGAAAATGCTGCAAAGTGGAGGGCCTGTACTGCATTGGCAGAGGGGAAGTCCTGAGGCACTCTCAAAGTGCTGCATTTTTCTGATGTGATGTTAACTTGAGACCTTGTCTGGCTTCTTAATGGGCAGGTGTTGTTTGAAGAAAAGCACGAAGATATTTCCAGTGTCTGAGACTAATAATGAGCTACCAAATGACATCAAGAGAAATGGATGGTCTTGTCATTTACTGTATTGTTATTTGTGTGAATTTATGGTGCTTCAATTTCCTGCTGCATTTGTTAAAGCAGTGACAATTCAATGACTATGAAATGCTTTGAGATGTGATGAGATTGTGAAAGGCACTACAGAAAACCAAGAACTTTCCTTTCTTATTTCAGCTTCACTGTAAGTTTAAGGAAGCATAAGTTCACCCACGTGTTGGCCAAATTGTGTTCAGTGTTGAAGTACTGTCGCTGGCATTCGGCACTGACTTGTTCCAGCTTTTCCATAGATTTTTCCCAAGATTCTTTAATTGGAGCCAGGAGGTGAAGCCTCTGCACAATGTCCAACATTGTCTGTTTCAGCTCTTTCTTCAACTCCTTCAGCAAGATCACAAGAAACAAATGTCACTAATGCTCCGACTAAAATAAATGGGCACATCACATTCAACATTCTTCGAAAGCAATCTAAGGCTATCATAACACCTCAGGAAGCCTGACTGGAAAGGAACATCATTTATTGTTGAACACTAAAATACAGCCACCACTTGTAGTGTACATTGGCTAGTCCCAGCCCAGGACAGACAGTTCTGCAGACCCAATCTTGGATCTGCTTTATTATATTTTCTATTCAACCTGTTTAGAGATGTTATTACACACCTCTGGAGCAGGTGGGACTTGAATCCAGGTCTCCTGGCTCAGAGGTAGGGACACTACCACTATGCCACAAGAACCCTCTGGATCTGCTTTATTATATTCTTTAAGAAATCTATTCAGAGATGTTATTACACACACCTCTACAGCGGGTGGGATATGAACCTGGATCTCTCAGTCCAGGGGTAGGGACACTACCATTGTGTCACAAGAGGGGCCGCTGAAATATCAACCTGCTCATAACATAACATGACACACCTCCGGGCCAGGTGGGACTTGAACACCCAAGCCTTATGGTTGAGAGGTACAGACACTGCCACTATGTCACTACTGGCAATGCCTTAGTGAACTACTGTATCTCGAGCAGGGGTTGAACCTGTGATTTCTGGTTTATGGGTCCAGCAACTTACCACTTGGCTACAGCACCCAATGCTGGGTCTGGTCTATAAAGGGCTCAGGTGATAAGTTGCAACTGGTAGGCCACTGCCTGTTACCAAGGGAGCTCATTCAATGAGCTCGGCAAGGAGATTAATTAGTAATTCCTCTAGGTCTTGTAGGAGTTATCATAGATATAATCTTAAAATTAATATAGAAGATTAAGGAGTGATACTATTAAGATGTTTAAGATGGCTAAAGGAATTGCTGGGGTAGTGTTATGAAGATGCTTTATACTTAATATTGCTTGGAGGAGTAAGTTTTCAAGCAAGCTTTGAAGGATTGGGAAAAATTCATTTATTTAAAATTTTGTGGACATAATTGAAGTGATTTTTTAAAAAAAATACTCACTGAAAGTTCTCCGCAGACATTATAGTTATCTTTTAACAAGGCTTCCTATAAATCACATGCTCAGTGATAACTGCTTGTTTTGCAGTAGATATCTGCTGGGCCCATTTTGAACAGTAACTGGAGAGGTATTTGTTTTATCTGGTTTGGTTGGATGGAAGCCTATTAAGAACAAGCAGAATTGGGGGAAAGCCTACCATGAACAAGCTAAGTTGGAATAACGCTTGCTAAGAACAAGCTGACCAACCGATCTCACATTTCTAAAAAGAAAACATTCTTACTGAGTTTGGGGAAACTTATTTAATGTTTGGAAAGAGTGACTGAAGAAACACTTCAATATTGTATTTCCTTATCAAGCTGAAACTATAAGTGTTCAGAGACAACTGTACATAATTCATGACTTAACCACACATGGCACAGCATCAAAACAACAGACTCTGGAACATGTTACACTTCAATCTTTGGCCTTCAAGAATAATTCATTGGTCACAGTGTTTTGTTTCCAGAAAGCCAATCTCTGCAGAGAATTCTGTTTTGACACTTTCAAGAGAGAGTGGAGAGACAGAAAGAAAGAAAGAGGGGAGAGACAAAAATAGAGATGGGGAGAGAGAAAGAGACAGAGAGAAAGAAAAAGAAAGAGAGAGATTTCATGAATATTTTGAAGATATCTATAAGGATAAACATTTATACTTCTGTATTACTGACTGTACGTGTTAACCAAGTTTTCCATCTTTACTGAACATACTTCTAAAAATCAAAACAGAATTGTGTTTATTAACAAATCTAGTTGATGGATTTTTAAAAAAATCTAATATAGACAAGTTATTTAATTGGTCATCTTGGTAACCAGAAAAAGTACTTTTATTTTGTGTTACGATCCTGGCGTAGTGGGAGTAGAGAGAGACTTCACATGTGCAGTCTTGGTCATAACAGGAGATATGGAGAAACTATAGACCCTGGTGTGGCAAAGCTCCAGCGAAGTGATAGGCAGTGCAGGGATGATGTCTGCAAGCATTCCTTTGCACAGAGTATAGTGCAAATCTGAAACTCTCTGCCCCAAAAGGCTATTGAAGCTGAGAGTCGATTTGAAGTTACCAATTGGGATTCATATATTTTTGTTATTAAGGGTATTAAGGGTACGAAATCCAGGAACGTTAATGATATTAACCTACAGATATGTTATGATGTATTTGAATGGCAGAACAGGCATGAGGGGCTGAATGGCATTCTTTTGTTTCTAAGAGTGGCAAATGGAACTCAAAGAAGCAATAGATAACTTTGGACATGCTACATTGCACCAATATATATGTCAGTGTTATATTTAACTGTGATGATACAACTTCTTTAAACTGGAGATTATCGCAGTTTCAATGATTTTGTCAGTGGGACCTACCTTGACTGTTTTGCATTAGTGTAAATAGGGCTTATTTAAATAGGCCTAATGTTCTAAAGTCCTGATTCTGGGAAAATGGGGAGAGTAAAGTATTAAGAATTTTCAACAACTGTGTGCTGTGGAGTATAATACTGGATAATTTTTAGTTTAAATCACTGATCATGATTCCTTCAACTGCACCTCGCAAAACTATGACCACTACTATCATGCCATGTTGTCCACGGTGGCTAGGTGGTTATCACTGATGCCTCACAGCACCAGGGATCTGGCTTTGATTCCAGCCTTGGGTGACTGTGTGGAGTTTGCATATTCTCCCTGTGTCTGCATGGGTTTCCTCCAGGAGTTCCAGTTTTCCCCCACAGTCAAAAGATGGTTAGGTGGATTGTCCATGGTGTCCAGGGATATGCAAGCTAGGTGGGTTGGCCATTGTAAAATGCGAGGTTATGGGGATAGGGTGAGGTTCTTATTCTGGGGTGGGATGCTCTTCAGAGGGTTAGTGTGCACTTGATGGACCGAATAGCTTCTTTCTACGCTGTAGGTATTCTATGATTCTATGATCTAGTTGGAGAAGGATATCAGACATATAGGAACACCACTTCGCTAGTCCTGGAACTATCTCCATAACTGCACTCTGGGTGTGTACCTGTACTACAAGGAACAGTTCAAAAAAGGCAGTTTCACACCTTTTCGACATCAATCAGGAATTAACAATAAATGTCAGCCTTGCAATTTACACCCACATCTCAAAGTTGAATTAGAAGCATGTTTCCTGAGATGTAATTTAAAAGAAAATTAGACAAATGATTTCACTTGCTTTATTTAAAGCAAAATGTAGCAGTTGCTTATAGCAACCAAACATTCTGTGGCAATTATACAGAAATAAAGCTTCAGGACTCTGACACAATATTCAAAATATGTTAACATCAGGATCCAGTGATACCAGCATATTTTTTAAAAAAGTCATTTAGATTGAGAAGAGAAATATTCTAAGAGGAAATCAACACGGTGTATGTGTTTGTGTTGGGGCTGATGATGGTGAATATCAAGCAGGGCTAGAATGGGAAGAGTTTCTCATCAAACTCTTATACATTTCCTCTTTATGATTGGCTCCTGGTACTGCAGCACTTCAATTTTAAAATCCTCAGCTTGCTTCCACATTGGTCCATGGCCTTGATCCTCACTAATTCTATATTTTCCTCCAGCTCTGCAACCCTCCAAAATGCCTCCAACTATGGTGCCTTGCCCAGCCCTAATTTCCTTTCCTCCATGATCGATGACAGTGTGTGCACAGAAGAGGTGCTTTCGCCCATGGAATGTGGGCTGACCTATCTACACTAATCCCACTTTCCAGCACTAGGTTCCTGTCCTCGAATGTTGTGACATTCCAAGTGATCCTCCATGAACTTTTTATTGGCTGTGAGGGATTCCATCTCTACAACACTCCCAGACAGTGCATTCAAGATTCCCACCGCCCTCTGGATAAAAATGTTTTTCCTTAAATCCCCTCTAAATGCCCTTCACCTTAAAATTAATCCCTTTATCATTCACTCTTCAAATAAGGAGAACAGCTGCTTTGTATCCACCTCATGTCCCTCATATGATTATACACCTCAGTCAGATCCTCTCCATATCCTTCTCTACTCTAAAATAATGAACCTGAGTCTATCTAGCCTCTCTCCTTAGCTTAGAGGAATGGGTTTATAGTATGAGGGGATTTCATCTTTGCTACCATTAACTGGGATTGCATTAGTCTGAAAGGACTAGATGGGTGGAATTTTTAAAGTGCATCCCACTGAGAGCTTTCTGTGCCAGTACGTAGATAGTCCGACAAGAGATGAGGCAGTGCTAGACCTAATCCTAGGGAATTTAGCTGGTCGAATGGCTGAAATGTGAATGCGTGAATATTTTCAGGACTGAATATTTTGTAACCATAACTGTAAGTTTCAAAGTTATTATGGAAAGGGATGAGAGCAGTGCAGAATTTAAGTGTCTAAACTGGAAGGCCAATTCAATATCATTAGATAGCATCTGGTAAACAGATTGAAAGCAATTACTTGCAGGTAAGTCTACATTTGCAAAGTGGAAGTCTTTTAAAAGTAGCATAGTGAGAATTCAAGGCCAGCATGTTCCTCTAAGAGTGAAGAGCAGGGGCAGCAAGTACAGGGAACTGTGGATGTCACGGGATATTGGGAACTTGATAAAGGATAAGAAGAAAACATATGTTTCAGAGACAGTAGGAACTGAGCTTGGGGACCGCTTTGCAGAACACCTACGCTCAGTTCGCACTAAACAACTGCACCTCTCAGTCGCGAACCATTTCAACTCCCCCTCTCATTCCGCAGACGACATGTCCATCCTGGGCCTCCTGCAGTGCCACAACGATGCCACCCGAAGGTTGCAGGAACAGCAACTCATATTCCGCTTGGGAACCCTGCAGTCCAATGGTATCAATGTGGATTTCACAAGTTTCAAAATCTCCCCTCCCCCTACCGCATCCCAAAACCGGTCCAGCTCGTCCCTGCCTCCCTAACCTGTCCTTCCTCCCATCTAT